GGGGGGGGGGGGAAGGGGGAAGGGGAGACCAAGTGGGAGTGAAGTGGTCCTCAAGAAGTGCTGAGTAAAGAAGGAGTGCCTTAACGGGCTTAACGGGTGAGGGGAGAGGACCATAGTAACATTAGCGGGGACGGGGAAAAGCGGGGAGGCGGGGACTACACATGTTAAATTTGGGAGGGGGAAAAGAGGCATGGGCGGGTGTCGGAAAAGGAGGCCCAGGTGGGGGACTTGAGGAGGAGGCTGAAGGCTGGCTCTCCCGAAATGTCAGGAACGAACATACGCTGGACTCCCGCTACCTACCTACCTACCTACTTGCTACTCTACCTTTACACCTGCTATCTACCTACCTCCTACAGCGGAAAACCCCCCAACACACACATACACAACACACTAGACATGCTCAACTAGACACTTGTCCAATGTAACTCAGCTTTCCCTACCCTCCTTCCCGTCCCTAAATGCCGTACTCACCTGCAGTACATTCAGCAAGTCCACTGCCTCCACCACGAGGTCCATGGACGAGGTGGAATGAGGCTGAAGCTGAAGCACATGCTGTAGGTCTGGGGGAGAGTTGGAAAGTAAATAAGTGAGTATGTATGTATGCATGTGCGTATGTCTGTCTGTCTGTAGGTGTGTATGTATGTACGTGAATGTGGGTTAGGTCTCAGTTAGGTCTCAATGAGATGGGGTTTAGGGCTTCTGAAAGGTAGGACTGGTAGAGGCTAAGGGGGGAAGGGGGGTTAAGACGAACCACTGGCGAGTGAAGCAGATACCAGAGATAGACGGATCGTCCAGGACGAGGGGGGAGAGCCGGTGAAATGGAGGTGGAAGCTCATGTTCAGTGTGACTCAGTTCATGTTAGCGGGAAGGCTAACCCCTCGCTCCCTCTCCCACCAAACTCCCCCACCGATGCAACACCCATCCGTGCCCAGTCGATATCCACCAGTGCGACCCACCACTGGGGCAACACACCATATAGATCTACACCAAGACAGTGTCACCGCTCTTCCCCCGGGGCCCCCCTCCTGGAAAAGCTATTCCCCCATTTCCCTTTTCCCTTTCCAAGCTCACTTTTGTAATGTCCCTCCACCATGGACTTGAGCACATTGAGCAGCACCTTGGTGAACTCGTATGCGTTATCCGCGTTGTTGAGCTTGGCGGACTTGTCCTCCCACCGCACCTCCTCCTCGTCCTCCTCCTCCTCCTCACCCCCACCACCCACATCACCCGTACTGGGGGTAAATGCCTGAAGCAGCGGCAAGAGATGGGGATGAGGACTCCGGTCAGGGGCGGGGTTTGCCGGGCAAGCGGGGAACATGAGTGCATGAACAGGGCGCGTGCGTGTGCATGTGTGTATCGAAGGAAAGGGGGTAAGGGGGGGGGGGGAAATGCTGAATTTCGGCTACAGAGGGACGGCAAAAGACGATTTGCTTTGCGCGGCAAACAAGACAGTGGTGGGGGTTAACCTCGAGGAAACGTCCAACGGAACACCAACGGTCCGAAACCCTAGGAAAGCAACACAGGTCTGTATGCATGTCTGTACGTGTGCACCTGTTGGGAGGGGAGCAGAAGAGGGGTATGTGTGAATGAAAAGATGGTGGGCAGGGGCAGTAAGACGCTCCGGCTAACGCACCTCAACCGCCTCCCCCAGCGGCCTCCCGTCGCCACCTCTCCGGGACGTCTGTCTCCTGCTGCCACTGCCACTGCTGCTGAGACCGCCCCGAGCTCTGACCACGCTTCCAGGAAGAACCAGCAGCGATTCCTCATTACCCTCCTCCTCCTCCCCCCCTTCGCCTTCACTGCCGCTACCCCTCCTCCTCCCACTGCTGGCCGCTGACCATCCCGAGCTCATCCTCACCCTCATCATCCTCGACCCGACGCTCATGGAGCTATCCCCACCGCCACCCCAACCGCCCCCAAGTCTCTGAGGCTCAGCTAGCCGCCCGGGTGACACCATCCGCTCGAGACCCTCCGCCGCTGGGCTCCCCGTTGCGCCGTTGGTGCTGGTGGGGTTGGTAGGGTTGGTGCCGACCTGCTCCTCCCCAGGCCCCTCCTGATGCGGTAAGGATGATGATGATGATGATGATGATGATGGTGATGATGATGATGATGGGTTGCCAGGTAGTAGCTCCGGAGCTGGTGCTGGTGCCATGGTGCTGGTGCCCCCAACCCTCCGACTGCTACTGCCGCTGCCACTAGTTCTGCGACCAGATCCTGCTGCAGCTAGTAGTAGGCTCCGGTTGGAAGCAGCCAGGGAGGTGGCGGCCTGGGCGCCTAGGAGGGGGAAAAGGGGGTGACCGGAATGGGCTTGCGTGTGAAGGTGGTTAGGAGGAGGAAAAAGGGTATGTAGGGAAGACGAGGGGAGCGGGGAGGGTATCTCAGCCAGGATGATTCACCGCACCATCCAACACCCACTCGGGGTCAAAAGAAAAGCACTTGAGACTTCACAACCAACCATCCAACCCCTCCACTTTCCCCCACCCCTAATACATACACACATACACACACACGCACGTGCTCTCACCTGTCGTCTGGCGCTCTTCTGGGGTCCCGTCTTCTGGCACCGCCGCCAACACCCCGCTATTACCCCTACTGCCTCGCTCTCCCATTCCTGCTCCTCCTCCTCCTCCTCCTGCAGCCGCCGCCGCCGCCGCCTCCTCCTGCTCCTGCAGGTCCCCGGATCCGGCGGTTTGCAGGTTGAGCAGCCCCTTGGACGCCACCGCCATGAGGTGGTCCCCGGACGCCGCCACCATGGAGCCCAGGGTGCCCAACTCGGAGGGCGCGGCGGCAACCAGCTTGACAGCCTGGTAGGGCAGCGGGAGGGGGAGGAGAGGGGTGAGGGGAGGAGGGGGGGTTGAGGTAAGAGAGGGGCTCTCCTCCTCACAGCGGTGGCGGCCAAGGGATCCACACAGAGTTTAGGTTGGGCCTTTTACATTTTTCGTGCGAGGGGCCCCCAGGGCCCGAAGCGCCTTTCGGTGGCCCGAGGCCCCCGGGTTCACTGCTGTCAGTCGGTCAGTCAGTCAGCGTCGTGCGTGTCTCAGGAGAATAATAAAATAAGAATTGCATTTTTTATCATTCTCTATCGATTCACTTAAGGAATCAATTCACATAAATCTGTGCGCGAAGATAGCTTTCCGCTATGGCTTTGGCTTTGAAATTCCCCGCCGCTCTGCCACGCTTAAGGTAGGTTTGCATATTATATCGCGGCCTTAGCGAGTCTGTCTAGGACAGCACGAGGACCTCCTATTGCGGGGCGAGTGGCTGCACCGGGGCCGAGCACTTTCGGCTTCAAAGAAGCTGACTACCCTAGTTTCATTCATGGTTTTACGATTTCTGGCATCGCGCTCTTGTCTGCTTCTCCCTCCTCCCCCTCTCCCTTTCCTCCCCTTCTCCACGGCCCCCACCCCTTGCCTTAATAGCTCCCCACCCTCTTCTCCCCTCCTCTCTTTTCCCCATCCCCCCCTCACCTTGAGCCCCAGCCCCCCTGCCGCCCCCGCCACCCGGGAGCCGCCGCTAAGAATGGACTTGACGGCGCCAGTCACCGCTGATGGGGGAAATGGGGGGAGGGGAAAGAAGGTTGGGTTTACGACACAAAGAAAATGCATTTTTGTCCCGCAGAAACTAGCGGGGTGAGCCTCCCCTCTCAAAATTTAGCCGCCACTCCCCCTTCTCCATAGCCTCCATAGCCTCCCAAGCCCCTTACAACCACTCCCCCTCCTCCTTCGCCGCTCCCCTCACCGCCGCTCCCCACTTCGCCTCCTCGGCCCCCTCCCCACATGCAAATGTGCAAACTTACCCTTCTTTGCCTCCTCCGCCACGTCCTTCCGACGGCTCTTAATCGCCCTCGTATTGCGCACGTACACTCGCCGTGTGACGTACTTCCTGCAGCGGTCGAATGCGGCCTTAAAGTTCGCAAACACCGCATCCGTCAGCTCGGAACCGTCCTTGAGGATGTCGTATATGGTGGCCTGCACCGCCTGATTGCCACTCTGTAGTTGAAGGGGGAAGAGGGGGGGGGGCGGGGGAGGGGAAAGAGAAACGTGGGGATGGTGAGAGATGTCCCCAACCCGCCAGCCCCGCCAACCCTAGTTCAGGTACATCACCGCAACCCCCCCCCATACACACACACACCTGCAGCAGCACCTCCAGCACCTTGAGCGCTTCCAACTGCACCTCGGGCATGGGGTGGGCCAGCAACGTCACAGCCGCGCGCGTGGCGCCCAGCTTGTCGTACTTGCACTGCCGCCAGGTGAGCAGCTCCAGGGAGGGCGGCTGCCACTTGCTCACCACCTCACCACCCTTACCACCATCACGAAGCAAACTGGGGTAGCGGGAGGTAGGGGCAAAGGGGAGGGGAAGCCACACAGACATACAGACAGCCAAACACACGTTTTTGGGAGATGGGTTATTGTGGGTGTGGGTGTGGG